GTCTTTCCTTGCCAGAACTTTCCTAAACATGCACTTTCACACTACTAAATAAAATTCAATGACAAAGATAATTCTTTTCTGATGTGGAGGATCAGTTTACCAGCAGCGGTGGGGCGGCTCTAGCAGCGGTGGGGCGGCTCCAACAGTGGACAAAAGGCGGAAAAAAAATTCAAGATAACCTTAAGCTCTAGATACCATGTTGAATATAAAGAAAATATAGTTTGGAATTAATTTCCCTTGTGTATAAATCACACATAGGGTGGTCTATTTATAGTAGAGAAATACAACTAAAAGAGTAACTGAAAGTAACAGAATAAACAGAAGATATTGTTTGATATTGTGGTTACCAATATCTAACAATATCTTAACAATATCAAATAATATATAAACAATATCTAACAGAAACCATTACATTAATAACAGAACACTAAACAAATGGAAATGGTACATTAGACAGAGACAACTTCTATAAAAGGCCATTAGCATAGCATTTATACAATGTAATCTCCTGTAGTAAAGTTTTTAACACACAAGCTGAGAGGTGAAGTATTTTTATCATTTATCCAAAATTATCTGACAAAGCCTATTTGATGCTATGACCATTTTTTGCAGAACATCTAAAATATCATGGATTCATGGTTATCTAAAAGAGAAGTGAATAGAATAGAATAGAATAGAACAGAGCAAAACAGAACAAAGGGATAATAAATTCATAATAAAGGAGGCATTTATGCCGTCGTATGTAACAACCTGTAAGCTTCCATGAGGGCATTATAAGTATATACATCAGGTACAAGCCCTGCTTCTTGCATCTGCTCGAATACTTCTTCTGCTTTCTCGCATAGTCCTTCTCTCGCAAATGCGTTCACCAGAGCAGTGTATGTGCAAATGTTAGGTTTGCACTTATGGCTCGTCATTTCATTGAACATTTTTAAGGCCATAAAGGATTTACCAGCCTGCATAAGTTTGAAGTTTTAAAAATATTGTTTATGTTATGACTACACCGTCAAGAAAACACGAGAATCTACGTATGCATAAAAGTCTACATATCATAATCACACCAACATTTACAAATTACATAATAAATATCATGTTGGTTGGTTCTAATCAAGGGTCAACCTTTATGACATGAAAAATTGTCGTCTTTCTAGTTGTGAAGGTCATCAACAGTTACACACATTTGATTTAGTTGAAGACAGTTACAAAATCTGATGCCTATTTTTGAAACCCATCGGATTAGATCTTACAGAAAATGTAAAAAAGGTAAAATTTTCAGACAAAAAATAAAGAATCTTAATAAGCTCACCTTTCCATATAAATTTATCAACATGGTATAAGTTTCAGTAGTCGGTTTGCAGGCATCCCTCTTCATCCTTTGAAAAATCTCTTCCACTTTGTCAGAATTCCCTCCTTTCATTAATCCATTTATATAAGCATTGTATACAACTGCACCTGGATTACTTATTCTTATATATGGTTAGCTATTTTAAAAGATCAAATTTCCAGTTATAAAAAATGGATGCACATCAAAGTTTCCAATAAAAAATTATAGGGTAAGGTTTGGAATAACCTCACTTAAATGCCGAAGAAAACCAAAGTTGGTGAAAACAAGATACATAAAATGTGTCTTCCCTATGTTTGAAATCTAAAATTGGATATTCACCAGTCATCGCACAGAAAAGTTGGCACAAAAACCTTTTCACTATCCAAGGTTCCTAGCAACCTTATCGAAATTAGCACCTCATCAACATCAAAATAGACTATTGCTGAACTTGTACAAGTGAACAAGACATAACAGAAGTCCTACAATATATCTAGTCAGCATGTTTAACTAAGCATGACCCTTGAGGATAAGGGGAAAGAGCAATGAAATAACATTTTGTTGCATACAAATTAATACTAGAGTAATTTGACAGTGTCTTCAGTTTTATACTAAGGTTATCTACATTGTCCAAACCCTCAAAATCATAGTTGGATTGAACATGTGTGGATGAACAAGTAAATACAGGAACATACTTGAAGGAAGGCCATAATTTCGCATCTCGGCAAAGACTGCTTCAGCTTTTTCTAGCAGCCCAGACAAGCAGTAGGCCTTTATAAGAAGGGCATAAGTATCTTCAGTAGGAATGCATCGAGTCTCAAGAAGCTGCAGATATGTGGATTCTGCCTCCTTGTATAGAAGCTTTTGCCCAAAAGCATCTATGAGTAAATTATAGCAGATTACATCTGGCTTATAGGAGCTCCTTAGCAGTATCCATCTACATATCTGTACAGTTTTTCCGTTATGAAATACCAAAACAAACTAATAATTTGGTTAAACAAAAACAAAAGTTTAGTGCCACTTCCCCATTATTCATGTCACTCAAGTCCTATGAAATAGACGCTGACAAGTGACACATGCGCATGGATGTATATATGATGTATTTAACGGTCAAATCTTACAAGAGAGAAGAGAAGTCAATCTTCACACTTCAAAGAATTTTATTGGTAAAAACTTTACCAGTAACGTAAATCTGCTAGAAGCAGAGAAACGTTGGTGAAACAAATATTGTCATTATCAATACTAAAGACACAGACACCACATATTTTGGTATGAGAAAGAGAATGAGAGTAATAAATTTATAAACTAAAAAAGAAACCTGAGATTTGAGTGTGAAATTATAAAAAATTACTATCAGCTGAATATATAATGGGTTAAGAAGTGCTTACACTGAAAATTGCTATAATGTAACATCTTTATATGTTGATATAGATATTCAGAGGCATAATCATATTGAATAATCCAATAAAAGGCAATATCCATGCAAAAGTGAAAAATAAATTGGAGTTTAAAGGCAGCAGCATGAGTTTCTGACCGAAATGATTGAATCCCAATGTTTCCTCATCCGAAGTTGAACAGCCACAGTGAAAATATCATCCCATAAGTCAAGAGTGGGACGAAGCATGTCCAATGAACCCCAAATGCTCTCACTATCTACACCCTTTTCAACATAGTCCAGAATCTCCTGTGCAGTTGGACTCAACACAGGGAAAATTCCATCAACAAACCCAGAACCGTATTTCCATCCTCGTCCTCTCAAAGAACCACCTGGTCATACAAAAGCTACACACTTTTCAAACATGACACACACACACACACGTTTCAATGAACAAGTGAACATACTCATGTTCCAAGTGTTTATTACATTTTTTCCTGGACACTTTTTTGTGATTGAAGTTCCTTAGTTTCCCATTTTTGTCAATGTAAACGCTGTCTCTTTTGAACTTCTCCAGAGCCACACTACTGGAATCATTTGCTTTCCATTCAGAATCATTCATGCACGCTCTTGGTTCTATAAGGGTGTGGCTTAGTGTGCAAATAGAATTTAACCTGCAGATAAGTCGACACTTAAGTTTCAGAGCCACTCCAAAGTGAAGTGGCATAACTATGTCATGTGTGAGTGCACAGACTATGACCAAACATGTGTGAAAAAAAATGGAACACAAAATTGAAATGAAGAAAAATAGATGGAGCTTACATGAAGGCACGTAGGAGAAGGTCCGAGTGTGGATAATGAATGAATGGATTTTTTCTAAGGCGAGAAAAATGGGCCTTTTGATATGAAACAAATGGACAAATGGACTTTCCATGAAAATATCTTGGGAAGGGTTCAGAATGGCAGACCCAAACAACCCGCCATGGTAACATGTAGCATGAATACGATTTCTTAGCATTTTTTTAACATATTAATCATAAATAGTAATTAAAAATATACTTACAAGTAATTAATCATCTTTTTTTTAGTTTATATTTTAAAGTAGGAAAAAAAACCTCTAGAAATTAATCTTCAACCATAAAAAAATATGTTAATCCGTTTTTCCTTCTCTTATTTACCAAATCAATTTCATTGCTTAAAAGAAAGAAATAATTCGAATGACCTCTTGCAGGAATACAACTTAACAAAGGGGAACATGATTATTGCATTTTCTTACGTACCATCCAATTAACAAAAATAAAATGGAGTCGATCAATCCAATGTACTATTTATATTTATATACAACTAAAATATTATAAAGTGAAATATAAACTTAAATTAAGGTATATTTTATAACATATTTCAAAATAAATAATATAGTTATAAATATGAAAAAATTATAATACACAGCCAAATAATATACTACTCCATTAGTTTTTGTTTTTGTAAATGTAAACGTATAATTACTTTTTATTTTTATTTTTTTAAATATAAGACATCCAATCAAACTTATAGTAACCATATATAGTACTATAAAAATCTATCTTCATATCACAACATAAAATTCTTTTATTTATTTTTTCTGAGACGTAATTCTAATTAGACAGAGGACGAAAAAGAAAATAAAAAGGAAAAAGCAACATCCTAATAGCCACGGACCACACGATCTTAAAACTTGCATAGAGGAGTCAAATCGAACGGCTCAAGAGAAAAGTAACTTTATTAGTTTACCTTTTTATTCTTTTCAAATTTTTTGTTAAAAATATTTATTACGATTTTTATTTATTTTTATTTTAGTTTTGACTCTTTTGAGAATGCCCCTTCAGCAAGCAAATTAAGCTCAAAAGCCGAACCCTCTGCCTGCAGTGCGGGTCACTCATTTGGCATTCGCAGATCGAATAGGAGGTAGGGTTTTCCCCACATGTGCTCTGATTTTATTTTGCATTGCAATTTTGATTTTATTTCCCCTTCCTTCACTCACCCCTTTTTGATTCATTGTATGTAACCCGAATAGAATCTGAACTTGTCAATGCTTTGGTTGGATGATCTGATGCCGTTTACTCGATAGTGTGCGATTCATGGTTTGCTGTGAGTCTGTGGTTTCTTTGAGCTGGGTATGACTCGGGAGATGAGAGCTCCTGCCCCAGCTATGTGCTTATTCGGTGAATATCTCACTGAATGGGTTGGTTCATGGAGGCATAGAAATGGAAAGAGGGTAAAAGGAAATGAGGTAAAGAGAGGGTGAGAGAGAGGAGGTTGGTGAGAATGATAGTTTGGTTTACTGTGAATTTGAGTATGAAAGAGAGTGGGGAGGACTTGTGTGATGCTTCCCCTTTACGAGAGAATGCGAGAGAGAAAAATGAGGGGGGAGTCTTCTGTCTTCAGTTTTTAGGTGCTAATATGGAGAAACTTATCAGTGTGCGTTTGAAAAACGTGAGAGAAATGTATGTACGTACGTATGTATAGTTTTTGGTTTGCCGAATAAGGAATTGATAAATCCATACAGGGAGTTCTCGTTGAGTATATTGCTGCTGGTTGAAATCGATGCCATGAACTCTCGGATTGATTTGATGTGGCACAGAATGTATGACAGCTGTAGGAAGATTGGCAATCTTTGTTACTCTTAAATGTAGGAATACTCTGTTTAAGTTACTGCTTACTAGTATGTTTAAGCTACTATTCACTAATTTATTGCTTGTCTTATGTTGGTTTGGCATTGTGATCACTGTTGCAACATTGTGTAGGGTTGAGGTAGAAAAAACATGTAGAAATTCCTACATTTAGAAATATTACTTAGTAAGTTTAAACCTATATTCATGAGTTACGCAAGGTTTGGCAGGCAGCACATCTTCATAGTCTTTAGGGTAAAACATGTCCCCACCTCGCCTTGGTGCTATGCCTACAAACCCGATTGAGGAGCAAACTGAATGAATCTTCAGGAATTCCAATACCACCAAACCTATCCCATTCTTTACTATTGCCTTCTTTGTTCTAATCTCTTTTGCTTTCACCATTTTATGCAGTAAGTTCACCAAGTCTTATTGAAGATGTTTCTCACAAGGTGAATCCCTCTGTCTTTTGCTGCAAACTTGCATCTCAGGAATTTTCCTTTTTGCTTGATTCAATTAATAAATGGGTTTTCCTGAAATCTATTATTATTTTTTAATTGTATAATTATTTATGCTGTTATTGAAATAGGACTGAGTATGACCGAGGAGTCAACACCTTTTCTCCTGAGGGCCGTTTGTTTCAGGTTGAATATGCAATTGAAGCCATCAAGGCATGTCACATCACCCTGATCTTTCTCCTCTGTGATTATTTTTATCTGTCTGTTAGAAAATAAAAGGTTTTACAATTTTTTTCATGGATTGCAGCTGGGATCAACTGCAATTGGGTTGAAGACTAAAGAGGGTGTTGTCCTTGCAGTTGAAAAACGCATAACTTCACCACTGCTGGTATGTTTATTTACTTTTTATTACGATGGTTGATTTTTATCATCTTACTGTGACATTTCTACACATAAATGTGCTGGTAACCACTAACTCACAGTATAACAACTGGTGGAATTAAGTAAGAAACATGTTTGTACAAAATATTGTTTTTTGCCATAGATATGCTTTGCATGAATTGAACATTGGGGCCAACCTATTGTATGCTGTTGTATTTGGATAAAATTTAATTGTTGTTGCTCATTTTAGAGACAAATGTGGGTTGTGCATACGGTCATGTACATAAAAAATAGTGCTGTTTCCTTGATATTATTTTATTCTAGTATTGTTCATTTTTGTTTTAGGTGAAATGAAATAGTATAGTGAACCTCTACTCGGCCTATATTACAACTGAATTTCTAGTTTATATGGATTTTCTTGAACATAAAGAAACATGATTATCTTGTAGTAGTTCCTTATGCTTTGCGCCTCCATTGATTGAAGCATAAATCTTCACTTTCAGGAGCCAAGTAGTGTTGAGAAAATTATGGAAATTGATGAGCACATAGGTTGTGCAATGAGTGGATTGATTGCTGATGCCCGAACACTTGTTGAGCATGCACGGGTGGAAACTCAGGTATAGTGAACTTTGTGGCATATATTAGGGACTTCATTAGTTATGATTGATATAGTTTGGTTTATTATTCACAGAATCATAGGTTCTCCTATGGTGAGCCAATGACTGTCGAGTCCACAACCCAAGCTCTTTGTGATCTCGCCTTGCGATTTGGTGAAGGTGATGAAGAATCCATGGTAAAGAATTTCTTAGCTTTGATATGGTGCCTTTATTTGTTTGTTTGCTTGTTTATGGTGCTTCTGTTTAGGAAAAATAGTTTATGAACATTTCCTGTGAAGTTGCTTGGTTTTTATGTATTTGCTAGGACTACAGATGCCTTGTATATTGCATTTAACAACTGTTGATTGGAGATTTAAACAAGTGTTTATTTACCAAAAAAATTTCTTATTGCACATATATCCTGGTATTACATTCATTGTTGAAGGTACATCATTATAATTTATAATTAAAGTATAACTCCTGATGTAAGATGCTTAAGAAACATGTGTGAATAAACCTTTTTCTTTTGTACAAAATACTAAATAGAAGTGGAAGTAGATCATCATGTGTGTATTTTAACAAAAGTCATTTTTTTTTTCTCTTTGGCAGTCTCGACCATTTGGAGTATCTCTTCTCATTGCTGGCCATGATGAGAATGGGCCGAGCTTGTAAGTATTTGTTTCATCTATTAAGCAATGGCTACTTGTGGGTGATGTGATGGAGTTGTCCTTTTGGTTAGTTTTCTATGTTTAGTCAGTAAATACTTTAAAAGTTTGTTTGTCTGAATTTGTGATACTGGCTACCTTTTTAAATTTATATGCCGTTCCTATTATCTTATGCTTTTATCTAGGAAATAGTGAAATTACGTAAAAAGGAATTATTGACAAATCTATTTCAATAACATTTAATGTTTTGGTTGATCATGATCGGTGATTAGCTTCTTGAGAATAACATATCCTCTCCTGTTGTTCAATGCCTTTCTTTATACTGAGAGCTTGTTTGTATAAGCTTAAAAAAGTAATTTTGAAATTGTGGAAAAATGTGAGTTTTTGTGGAGATATTTTTTTTAAGCTATTCATTCTAGTATTTAAAAATAATAGTAAATCTGATATTATTAAGTTTTTTCTTAAAGCTCATGGATACCTGAACACCATATTAACATGTTTCAAAAGATTTTTCAAGAAAAAAGTTCTTAAAGTAGGTGTATATTTTGTCTTCCTTTGTCGAAGGGATTAGGAACTGTGACATTCTCTGCAGGTATTTCATGTTCATTTAGTACTGTGGACCCTTATCACAATTTTTTGTATTTTAAAGATAATGCTATTTCAGGTTCCACAATGTACCTTTTTTTACCATTCATTTGTGACATAATTTCATTGTGTGGTTCAGCTGTCTACCCTGCAACTTATACTCAATAAAGTATATATTGATGTTTTAGCTTCTCAATGGAAATCAGTTGTTGGTTGCAACTTACAACTTTTTCTGCTTTAACCAGGAAACAATTGAGGGGTAGCATATAGCTCACCTACTTATAAAGGTTTAAGGTTCAATTATAAACAATTTTCTTATTCTTGTATGTCACAGACACAGTAATGCATATTACTGTTTAGACAGTAAATAAATGCACATTGCTATTCTGTTTTTGGTGGCCTACTGTATAGGCTTTATTCTTCAGTCATTAGATGATATGTAGTTTACCTCTGCTGGTCTTGTTTCCAGCCCTTCTCATTTTGGACTTCGTTTATTGAGTGAATTTAAATGTTCTGATTTTCAGGTATTACACTGATCCATCTGGCACATTTTGGCAATGCAATGGAAAAGCTATTGGTTCAGGGTCGGAAGGTGCAGACAGTTCTCTGCAAGAACAATACAACAAGGTATCAATATTTTTATATTTATTGTTTATAAACCTTATATTCTGTTTATAACAGTAAACTTATAGTTGCTTACCACCCATTATAAATAACGTAACAAAAGGTAATACTAATCAAACTATATATTCATTTTATCTGGAGTCACAGATAAACTTCACCCTCAAGATTTACATAGTTTCCTTTTCACTTAATGAGAAGATAAAACAAACCATTCCAATGATCTGCAGATTTCTGTTTAAATGTTATTTTCATATCCCTGTTTTACCGCTAATGACGTTATTTTTCCTTTTTTTTTTTTTACTGTTTACATTTCTAATGAACGTAATGAATTTTGTCCATGTCTTGGAAAAAGTTAAACTAGATAATTTTTTATGGTCAAATTAATGTCATTGTTCCTAAATGCCAACGTTAAATGACATTTTTCATTCTAGAGGCTTTAAGTGCTGAGTTTGGGTTCAATGTTTATTTTGAAGAAATAATTGCTTCTTTTAGCTCTCTGAGAATGCTTTTTAAAAATGTGATTATTTTTCTAGGATTATGCTGAACCATAATATGCTGAATGAATTGACAGCAATGCAATCTGGTGTTAACTTATTATGTTATGCAGGACCTAACTCTTCTGGAAGCGGAGACTATTGCTTTATCCATTTTGAAGCAAGTTATGGAAGAGAAGGTAAGGAACAAATCAAATGCATGTTTTGCCAACTGAATGACGTCCCTACCTGAAATGGAAAATAGAAAATAAAAAATAATTTTTTATTTTGTAATTTTCATCTTAGGTTACTCCCAACAACGTTGACATTGCCAAGGTGGCCCCAACATATCATCTTTATACCCCCTCTGAGGTGGAAGCTGTGATAAGTCGTCTATGATTTTCTTTTCGTGACTACGTCTGTTCAACATTTGTGTTTCTTATACCTTGTGCGTGCACTTCTAGTTATTCAACATTTGTGTTTCTTATACCTTGTGCGTGTGCTTCTAATTGTTTAGTATTATGCGGAAACTTTTTTTGGTGGATATGGCCAAGTTGTACACTGTTCCAAATTATATTGTCATATTTGCAACATTCAGTCTTAAGTTAAAATTGAGGACTAAAAGGGTTTCTATGTTTGGGAAAATCCTGTGCTTGTTTTTTTTTTGTTTACTGTGAAATATTAAGGAATGGGTCCAAGTTTTAGCTTCTTAAAAAATATATTTGTTCATTCTTTTTTATTCTGGAATAGGCATTTGAGAATATGCTTACCTGTTTTGGAATGGAAAAAGGTAAACATAGATATTTATCAGGTGCAGAAGCAAATATCGATGGAGGAAAATAGCATTGCAAATGATCCTTACGCATTATGTGTGTACTATTGAAAGATATGAAAAATCAAGATACTTTTTACTACCCTCAGTCAACTATATCATTATAATAGATGTAGTTCCTGATTCGTTATAACTAGATCAATTTCATTACAATTTTCCAGAAAAACTAATAGTTTCATTATTTCTTTTCTAAAATAATGTTAAAATTTTTTAAGTGTTTTTTTATTAATAACTTCCTATAATCTGTTTTGATGTGTATATTCTTGTTATGATAATATTTTTCTCATTACTCATTAGCTTGAGTGGGCAGTATTCATATGGAATAGCTATTCTCCTAAATGACATGAATTTGTCTGTGTATTGAGGTATTTTAACTAAAATGTAATTGAATTATTTGCATGACTACGATACAAATAAAAGTAATTGTGGAATTTGTTTAATAGTGTCTCGAATTTCAGGCCATGTTACAGCTTCTAAGTTGTTTTATAAAGTATACAGAGTTTGTTTGGTATAAGAAAATATGTAAGCATTTTTCATAAAAAATAAAATCAAACTTTTCATAACCTAGTTTATAAAAAATGACACATAACTTATATATATAAAGTGTTTATATACATCAGTGCATCTTTCATAATATATATATATATATATATATATATATATATATATATATATATATATATATATATATATATATATATATATATATATATATATACTTATTGAATTTTATGTTGGGTAAATGGCAGGCAGTGTTGCTTAGCCCATATTTTGCTCCTTGATAAAACCATTAATACAATTTTCAACGCAAAAAATGCCTCTAAAGGGTGAATAATGCGTTTCGGGTGTGAAACTTACAATGCAATTATGCAGCTTGAAAGCCCAACTTGATTCAAGCCCAAAATCATGTAACTTTAAAGCCCAACCTGATTCAACATCCTAAACGTGAAAACTTACAATTAAGCTGCTTGTGGGTGAGCTTGTCTATTCCTTTAAATTCTCTAAACGCTTCTTTAGATTAAGTAGAGAAGAAAGAAATAGAAGGAAAATAATTAAAGGAGAAATTAAATAATAATTTTTTTACAAGAATAAAAGATAAAATAAGCAAGAATCTTTTCCTCTTATTTGAATTAATGGAAGAAAAACTGAAATAAATAAAAAATACAAAATAGTTTTACATTAATTAAAATATATTTTAATCCAAAAATTTAAATTTTGTACTCAATTTTTTTCTTAATATTTTTTTTCATTTTTTGTTATTAAAAATTATTAATCTTAATATATCACCTTTCTTCTTCTTCTTCTTTTCTTTACACAGAGACAGATAGTGTAGAGTGATCAATTCATTCAACTAGTTTCTTTATGGTATATATTGTCATTTTAATTACTTTATATTATTATTATTATTATTATTATTATTATTATTTTAATAATAATTATATAAAAAGTCACACCCTTTTTAATTTATACATTTAAATGCATTTTCATTTGCAATATAATATTATTTCATCATACAATCTTTAGTCTCTCCTTTTTAAAAAAACTTGTTAAATGTTTCAATCTTTCTACCTAGAAAAATGTGTGGGGTGAGCAGAAAAAAAAAATCTTGAATTCTTATTTAATAAATATATAAGATAAATTTAGATAATTGAGATAGATAATATAAATTTTTTTAAATATTTTAAAGATATCTAAGGAAGTTAATATAAAACTTTTTTTAGTATTTTTTTTATGTTTATAAATTTCAAGTTATTAAGAGTAGAGATTAATACTAATTTTTTTTAAGAATAAAACTGAACTGATTATATTTTTAAAATTTTAAAATATGATGTGAATTGATCATAAGATAATTCCAATGTTCTACTATATAATAAATGAGACTGAGAAGATTTTTATTTCAAAACAAAAATTTGTATTATTTCATATAAAAGATAAATACAAATCATTAAAACAATAATAAAAAATATATTTTCATTTTTAAATAATACGTAATAACAAAACAACATGTTAATGTTTTTTAATTACTGTATCTAAAAAAGTTAATTCCTATTTTTTAAATAAATATTTTCAATGATAAATTAATTTATTCCTACTCAACTTACCCACGAGGTTGTTGCGTAAACAGAACAGGGATATTTCAAAAGATTGGCCAAAATTATTAAATAACATGAAGATTCAAACAAAACCAATTTTTTTTAATTCTACCAACATTATTGAAGGAACGAAAGTGTTGTACTCAATAAAATATATTTGAAGGCGATAAGTAGAAAGTGCAACATGACGTATCAAGACTGTCCATGCAACCGAAAGCAAAAACCTAACAAAGACATGACGTTTTTTCTTCCCATACCTCACATTAAAAAAATCAATTTTAGTCTTTTTTTTTCTTTTTCAATATATAAGAATGAATAAAATATTATTTTAGATTTTATTTTTCATTCCAGGACATTTTTTTTGCATCACTATTCCAATGATCAATTTGGAAGTATTTATTCTAGAATGTATATTGAACACTGAATCGAAACGTGTTTAATATGCCAGATAATGAACATTCGTCATCTTTTTATTTAATAATTCGAATATATAATTTAAAAGCTTTAATACATTATGAATACATTTTCTGAAATATATAGAAATTTTTAAAATGTTTTTTTTTTTTTCAAATCATTCTAAACAACATCACAGAAGTGTTTTTCACCAACAAAGTTAGAGAGAGGGAAGGGATTGAATTCTCTCACAGGCTACTTTCTATTTTTTAAATTTATATTTTCTTTGGTGAAAATTTATTGAAATAATAACATTGGTGATATTATGAGGGTAGTGGTCCTTAATGCAATGAATTTGAGAAAAATTATAAAAATTAATAACTAATTATTATGAAGACTAGATTGACAACTACTATTTAAGAGGGAGAGTCCTCAAAATTCAATTAATAAAAACAGTATATAAAAAAAATTAGGGTTAGGGTTAGGGTTAGGGCACATCATGACTCAAAAGACTTTTTATGTTTGGTCATAAATGATGTGGATGGATCAGGAAGTGACCCAAGTCTAAGTACCTCTCTACATATTAACATTCATTATTACACTCCTCACAGGAAAATTAAATCAATTACTTGGAACTGTGTCTATTCAACTCACAAAATTAATTATTCAGAGGCAATTGCAACCAGATGAACCAAGAAAAATAAAATTGTAAAAATAATGATCATTATGAGTTTGAACCATTTTTAAATTCAAAGAAAAAACATTTTTTAGCCTAAAAGGAACTCAATATATTGTTCTCCATATCCTTCACTCTATCTATGAGTGGTGAAATAATATAATTTTTCTTAAATTTATATATGTTTATATGTATGTCTAAGGTGAAATTTTGAAATTATAAATATTTAAAAATTATAAAGTTACTGAGAAGAATAGTAGAATCACGTAACTTTAGATAAAAACTATCCAAAGTGCACTTAAATCAATATTTAATATATATAATTTCAAAATATATCAAATTTAAGGTTATGGTAGACAAACCAAAATAATCATTAATTTTTATTATCTTCAATAAAATGTCCTATACTTAAAAAAAAAAACTTTAATACATTTGAAACAGTTAAATAATCAACGTAAATAATAATAAAAAAAAGATTGCAAAGAAGCATGTGACATAAACGGGACCATCATGTCGAAGCAAATTTAAGCACAAAATGCCAAACTATATATGAACAAAGTCATTACTGGCAGTGAAGTTTAAATATAAGCAATGTAATGCATTGTCCAATAACAAAATCTATTAATTAAACCATGAAAATCTTGAAGCTTGTTTGTTTATAATCCGAATAAACTTATAGAAAGGTAGGGAAAGAAAAAGCAGAAAGTTTGTAACGGAGTTGAAGAACCCTAATTTGCTTGCGCTATTAGTAAATTGCAGAAACTTCCACATGTGCTTCCCTAATTCTGCACTTTAAAAACCCTTAATTAGATGAGCTCAAAAGTCAAGTTTCAATGGAACCAGTTCAAATCCCTGCAAAAAAACAAACCATAAATAATTGTGAATTTTATTGTTGCCAAAATTGAAAAAGTGATTCTAAAACTTCTAGTTAATTACTTGGCTAAACTAGAGCACCACCTAATTGGGGTTTCCCTATTTATAGTGCGACAAATAGTACACTCATATATTCTAACAACACCATCCATAGTTTCAAACTCATGAAAATAAATTTAAATACTTCATTTGAGACATATCAAAAGAGAAGAGGATGCTTTTTATACCATAGTGAAGTGAATACATAATAATGCTTAAATCTTGTTATAAATTATTAATATTAAAGTATATATTGGTGAGTTTTTTTTTGTTTAGAAAAATAAAAGACACCTTATTTTTATAAGTGATTATTTGATATTATAAATGTCTGGGTAAGAACTTATTTTAAAGGGTTCTAACATCAAATGCTTATAAAATTTTAATAATTGATACATGTAAATGTATATTGCAGATCATACATGCATTGAAATATTATAATTAATTACTTTTTTATCAACTGAAAATATTTTATTTTATCTTCACAGTTTTAAAGGAGACAATTAAGATGTAAAGAGAAAGAAAGCATATATAGAAAAGTCTTATCGTAAGAATGTATAGAACAATAAATATAAGTTATTAAATAATATTTGAATGATTAAAGTTAAAATTAAAAAAATAAGTATGCATAATAAAAAAACTCATTTAAGTATATGCTTTTCTATTAAAATAGTTATGTAATTACTGAATTTTAATCTTTATTTTTATAAATAAAATTGTTTCACATTTATAATTCTCATATTCTGAAAAAAATTAAATATTCTGTAATATATGAAAAAGCAATATCACTTTTATTGCATTAAGATTGCCTGACATGCACTCAAGTAAAAAACTTTTTTTTAAAGGAATTATACAGTCATTTGGAGTGTTAAGTAGAATTTAAAATGTATTTAAAGTATATATATATATATATATATATATATATATATATATATATATATATATATATATATATATATATATATATATCAGCAGTAAACCTAAATTGCCCATTTACTCCCATATAAAAACTTTACAACTATATATACTATCATGCAGCAACTAAACCAGTGTTGCAAAAAGCTTTTAAAAACAAAATGAATGCATCACAAAGTTATCATAATCTAATCAGAGCAAGATACATAATCTATATCACAAAGTTATATATAAAAGTCTTTGAAATTCGTCCAGATCAAACATTCTCTGCAAGAGTTTTTGTAAAATTCAAAAGATATATATATATATATATATATATATATATATATATATATATATATATATATATATATATATATATATATATACCATAATATATTATCTATGTGACGTGCGAATAAGATGTTGATAAGAGCAGGTATTGTATTGGTTGAGTGAGGGTCCACCAGTTTGACACTCGTGACTCTGCCAACCCAAAATATATCCAAAAATGAAAGAAAATGAAAAGGAAAAGACAAGAGAAGAAACGAAGTACTGTACAACGTCGTTGTCCACCCCATGCAAGACAACATGTCAGACCACACGCTCTTTTTCTGAACACACTATTTTTTTTATTTTATTTTAAAGTAACAGCATCTTTCTAACCCTGATGGACCATCACCAATTATCAAACAAAATGCTCAAGATTATACTACAAACTCTCCTTCTACTTTTATAAGGTCAGAACATATATATAAAAAATGCAACCCCTAATCACCATGATCGAGGAACGGAAACCCTTTTAGAATCATAACAGTAATCATCATTCCATAACATGTCACTAATAAATAGTATATTGTTTTTGAGTTGACGTACCTTTGTACTTTGTTGGCACGAGGGAGGATGATTTTCCTCACTGAAAATTCCCTCCACCACCTCCAAAAGCTAGGCCTGACGGCGCAGCATTATTGTTACTGTTGTTATTGCTGTTATTGTTGTTTCTTTGATCTGCTTCCAGAGAACTCAGGTTGAAGCCATGTTGTTGTTCTCTCTGTGCAACACTTCCACTTCCATTCATGCCTCTCACTATCTGACCCACACCCAGAAAATCGCGGGTGAGTCTATCAGACCCTCCAATGCTGCTGCTTCCACTCATTGCGTGCACTTTCCCCTCCCTGTTGTTATTATTACTGTTATGATCATATGCTTCAAACCCACCTTCGAAAATGGAAGAGTTTCCACTAACAGCGAACGAGTTCATCAGGTCTTGTAGGTTGCTGTTACTCTGTTCGTTCACGTTTCCTCCGAAGATTCCACCACCGTAGTTTGCAGCATTTACCAGTGGCCTGTGTTGCTCGGATTTTGAGCCGCTGCTGGAGGACGCGCTTCCGAAACTTTTCAATAGCGAAGCGGTGCTGTTGCTCGAAGTTGCACCCATTTGTGCAGCTTTCTGAAGCAGTGCAGTTGCAGACATGTGAGATAGTGCATTGGCGTTGGCACTGACAGCATTGTTGCTGCTGCTGAAGAGCGAAGGAGCGCTTGAAGTTGTGAAGAAGTTGGTGCCCTCGTTTGTGTTGTTGGCATTGTTGAAGTTTTCAGAGAATGAAGCATTGGTGGTGGTGTTTGAAAGGAAGGGAAGGTTGAAGGGTGAGTTGTTGTTGTTGAGATGATCAGACAGTTGCATTAGTCCTTGTTGGAAGGGCTTGTTTTGGAGCAAACCTTGTTGTTGGTGTTGGTCGGGGTGATAGCTGTGGTTAGGTTCGATGAAGAAGGGTTGCTGTTGTTGGGAGGGTCTGAAGGGAGAACCTAGGAGGTGGTCGAATTGGGTAGTTCTGGTCGCAGCGGCAGCACCACCGAGGCGGAGGAGTTCAGGTGGTTGGGTGTTGGTGTCTTGGATGCTGGATATGTGAGAAGCAACCTGAGAAAGGTTCAAGGGGATGGTGTTGGTGGTGGTTCCGAAGATGTGGGTTCCAATGGCGGCACTAAGGTTTGGTGGCTGTCTTGCACTCTCTTGAGCAAGTGCATCACAGAAGGCCCTGTGGGTGATGAAACTGTCTCTCCTGCATTCATTTCATTGTATTTCAAACAATTAGTGGATTAATCACACACTCACTAAAGATAATCTAGGTTTATCATACATCACACAAAATAATCTACTAAAAATGTAAAATCTATACAATAAACTTCTTAATTTTTATAATATTAATTTAAAAGTTACATATGAAGTTGTTAATAATGTACACAAATTTTACATATCACCACTTAACTCTTACAATAATTTTTTTTAACTTATGTTTAGAATAAATTTTAATTTGTTAAGAAATGCTAGTTAATCTAATTAATTTTCAATATTTTCGAGGAAGTGTATTAGTGTTCTTTTAATAAAATTATTACATGATTTTGATCTATTAGTCCTCTCCTTAATTTCACCCATATAATTAAATTTTGGTAATTTTTGTGTGAATTTATAATGTTAAGTGGAGATTGATATAAGCTATGATTATTTTAAGTTATATAATTTTTGTTATTTAAGAGAAAATATACGGAATGATTGAGTGAACAAAACTGAATAAATATGAATGCAAACTATTTATTTATATATACTGGTTGAGACACAAAACTAATTTTTCAATATACTGGTTGAAGCTCATCATCGAAAATTTATTGAGTAACAAAAAAAATTATCCAAAATTTATGAATTAGATAAGGATGGCTTACCTTCAAATTTAATTATCAAAAAGTGTATGCGTTGGCGAGCTAATGCTTTTGTATATCATTAGCACAACAGAGAAAAAAAAAAGATTTTTTTTTTCATAAACTATTTTTAACCTTAATCTAAAATTAAACAAAAAAGTTACATGAAATAGTTCACTTCAGAAACACTATAACAATGATATAATTTAAACCTGTCACGTATCTTATGGTATACATAGATTACTAGAATTAGGACTTGGCTTTTCCAAGTAATAAAGACAACAAAAATCTTAATCACAAAATCACTTAAAAATGTTAACATCCAAATTTAAGAATAAAAGCCTTAATTAGCCGGAGGACAAACATTTGCGTGTATTTATGAAACGAGTAATTAGAAAAAATAATATTGTGACAATTCCACGAGCCAATAAGAAGATAACTGAAAATTTCCAAAAGGGTACACAACAAGTAGGTGGAATAATTTCACTAGAAGTTGATGAAAAGATTAGCCAATCAATTAAGAAGTGCAATGTGAAGGACTTGACTTCAGGGTGTGTGGTCTGAATGTTCATTAAATGGAAGCAAGGAATATGAATTGAATGTTTTGAGATAGAAAAAGCAAACAATCAAGAACCCTGATTGTGAGATTGTGCTGGAACTGGACTTAGTTTGACTCCAATGTTATGAAAATGGTCAACAAGGATGTGCCCACTTTGTGAGTTAATCATTGTAACATTTATTAGGTACTGCATATCTCTGAGGAGAATTCAGGGTGACCACTCACTCGATCCCACCATGTTAAACCTCAAATCATGTGGAAGGAAAAGAAAAATAGTACCACAACTACATACATAAAAACAGGGAAAGAGAGAGAGTGTGTTGGATACTTGATTAGGCCATAACGTTAGCATGAAAAGGAGAACCTGCAAGAGCACAGTACTGAACACATCTAGCCAACTCAGAAGAAAACAAAGGTAGTAATAACATATCACACACAAACACACACATATTCTCTCTCCTCTTCATGGCATAGCTACACGTGAATGGAAAAGAAAAAAGATAAAATAGGGAGAAATAGCGTTGTTTCCAAGGTAAAATGGGAAAGGAAGAGATATTTCCATTTGCTTTATGCCTTTTAACGAGAGAGAGTGAGAGATAACTAAAGAGGGTGCTGTTCCTCCGTGTGTTTGTTCTGAAAACCCTATAACCAAGGCAGTTTAGAGATGATTCACGTGGGGGGATGTTTCCTTCCATTTCTCTTGGTTGGCCACCGTACAATGGAAGGAAAGATGACAAAGGAAACCATACGAGAGAGAAGGAACCAACCGAGTGGACAGAATCTTAATCAATCAAATTGCAAGGAAACCAAACTCAGAAGATAAAAAAAGCATCCAAGCCTTTTTTTCCTCACTGTAGCAAGCTAGCTACACACTCTATCTGTGTGTCTTCAACAGAAGAATCTAATATAACCCTTAAACCAATCCCAAACAAGCCAAAACCAAAACCAAAAACCAAACCAAACACTGATCTCCTTCTTCTCTTTATGGTCATTTCTGGCTGTGTTAGGCTAAATTTTGCATAATAAAAAGGCTTAGTAAAACATGAGTGTTTGAAAAAATGGTAACAGAAAAAAGATATATGTTAATTACTTCTATGCTAGTGGTTCTTTACCTGGAGAAGAGGGTGCCACAGTCACATCTGTATTCTTTGGTGCCACAAGTCTTAGAATGGGCTTTCCAATCTGATTGAACAGCATACTTCTTGGAGCACTTGTCACACTTCCACTTCTTCTCGCCATGTTTGCGAGAGTAGTGTTTCTTAATCCCTGTGAGGTCTCCAAGAGCCCTTGAAGGGTCATGGTGGACGCATGTGGGTTCGGGACACAGATAAACCTTTCTCTTTGGCTCTTTTGTAGTCTTCTGCTTAAGCTTCCAAGGCAAGTTGTGTCCTCTTCTGTGTAGCTGTAGGTTTTGCTCCCTTTGGAACCCTTTGCTGCACACCTCACATATAAACCTGTTTGTTGCCATTAGGGTCTTGGGAGATAGTGCTATCACCTCCGCATCTGGATCTGTTACCATGGAAAAATGCCAAACAACAAATTATTAGAAAATTGATTAATTCACCCAAGGAAAAAAAAACATAACAAAACCTGGAAATCAAATCGAGAGAGCTTCAAGACAAAGATTTTCAAAGACATACATACCCATTTAATTTCAGTCCATCTTAATTACATTTGTTTTTAAATTAGGGTTCCCTTGGGAATTCACTTATACCAAGTGAAACTAAAGGGTACCTAACCAAAAAACATTTGTGGAATGAAAATAGATACAATCTATGAAAGGAAAAAAATATTATCATTGATATAGGAAACGATTTAGCGATTAGATCTTAATTCCTGATAAAAAAATTAAGATACTTGCATGGAGTTCCAGGTTGGTTTCTCTTTTTCTTCTGAGGTGGTGGTGCAGCTGGAGTTGTTGATGAAGATGGTGTCAAGGAATGTTGCTTCATCTGGTTCTGATCCTCTTCTCTAAATCCAAAGAGCGATGCTGAGGAAGATGATGCCGCCATCTCTTGTAGTAAGCCCTATATATAATAATTAACCTTCTTATGCTTCACCAGGAGTGTCCTTTTCTCCTTGAACCCCACAAGTGAATCAGAATTCTGGAAAACCCACATGCAATTTGAGTCCTCCTCAATTCACATCCCCAATCTCAGGAAAAAAAACTCATAAGCAATTAATAGAATTCTAGCAAAGGAAAAATACAGAAGGAGATAGAACGGACAGAGATACTGAAGAGGAAGAAATTAATAGCAATAGCAGTTGCAAATAATCAACCCCTCCATGGACACTGCTTGGTGTTAATATCCTCCTCAGGTTGGCTTGTTATAAATGAGAAATTTGAGCTGGCAGTAATATTACTCAGTTTCTTCACTGATTTGGTGTCATGCAGATACACCAACACATATACACACAACATTTTCTTTCTTTCTTTCTTTTTTTTCCTTTTTCTTTATTATTCTCTGCCTTTTTTTCCTCTTCAAAAGCTTTTCCAGATTTTGCTCACTTCCCCTTTGTCATAAATGAAATTTTTACACTATGAAAATTAATGAATGAGAGAGAGGGTAAGGCCTACGGGTCGGTGGACCCAATCCTCAGCCACATAACGACATAGGATGTGTGAAAGCAGCATGAAACAGCTACACCACTCTCTCTCTCTTTCTATCTCTTATTTCGTATCTTCTTACTCACTCCCAGACAAACTTTCACTCATCACTCAGCCCCACTGGACCTCACAGAAAATTCAAAAGGAAAAAAAAAAAAAAAAGAAGGACAATGAATGGAACTCCCAAACCGTAAAACCAATGGAGAGAAAAAAGATAAATAGCAACAATAAAAAGGCTCGGTAAAAGAAACACTAATTCGACTAAGCAAAAGAAATAGTTATATTAACACTTAATTGGTAAAATGGTATGAAGGAATATGTATAAGGATGTTTTGTTTTTCTTGGTTTTGTATGCATATATTATTATTGGTTTTGCTTTGTAAAGTGGAAAACAAAACACCTGATGGTTGATTGGGTGAAGGGTGAATGACACTGTTTGTCTGAAATTCAGCGGAGGCAGAGTGTACTGTACTGTTACCGTTTAGGGTCACTGACATGGAAAGGGCAAAAAAGGATTCTGAAACTCTATGTGCTGTGTTTGGCTGACTTGGGTTGATGCCCTTCTTCCGTTCTGTTGTTGCATGCAATGTATGCAGTGGCTGGCTGGTCCTTCCCCAGGGTCACATCAAGGGAGGGTCACAAGGAAGGGTAGTTTGGTTATTTTGTGAAAAAGTGGGGAAAATCACAATCAGAAGACCCAAGAAAGGACCTAATCCAACCACTATGGATAAACAAATCACAAAGGAATTTTTTAGAATCAAAGTGAGTGAAGAAGTTGCTAAAGTCACAGTTTAATTCTAGACCGTGGATCCTGTGGAAACAAAATCACTGTCAACTGCATAAACCACCTTTTTTCTGAGATATTACCATGGAATAGAATAGAATAAAGTGAAATGTGTGCTTTTCGGGAATTATGAGGTCTTTTGAAAGGGATAGTTATTAATATTTTTATCAAGTTTTAATATTAATAATCATTTTTTTGAGACAGTATTTATTCCATCTCCTTTTGCTTTGCTGTCTTTTCTTTAAATTTATTATTTTATTAGTTAGCATTTAAGATTCAATTATTAAACAGTCATAGATGCAAAGGAAGTTGTCTTTCTTAAAAATAAAAATAAAAAATTATGACAGCTTAACAATAAGGAATTACAATTTTTCTTTTCTTATATTGATATTAATAAGATATAAAGTCAATCTTTAGTCATAAATGGGTAGAGTTTATACAAGGGAACTTCAAGTATGTCTTTATATATATATATATATTCCTTAGAGAAATCAGTAATAAACATATAAAAAGGGTAACAAGATCAGAAACCTAATTTCGATGTTTATAATCCATATGCAAGTTGGTGAAGTTACGGTGTTGCTGATGTGACTATTAATCTTAACACCAATCAAGGTGTATTTTATTTTGATTTGATTTTAGGTTAATGAATGAGAAGGGACCCCAAACAAATAAAATAATTAAAATCATGTAATGAAGTCCCAATCATCGTTTTCTTTGTTGGTTTCTAAGTTGTTGCCATTCTTTTAGACAAAGATCCAAAGTAGAAGAAACCAAGAGAAAAATTCTAAAGAATTATGGTGTGTAATATAAAAGGATAAGAGCCTGCATCCACAACAGTACTATGCTCTCTGCTTAGTCTTTAAGTCTTTAAAAAATTCATCCAAAGGATACAAAAACAGTCAAACAAACCTAAATGTTAGTTTTTAAAACAAAACCTGTCCACCATTTAAGAATACTTTTTAGTTTAAAAATATATATATTCTAATTCAAACACATCAAACGTTTTATTCTACTCCTGGTCCTGGGTCAGCAACGTAACAACAAGTAAAACTAACAGTTACAAAAACATTGAAGAAAGAAACCTAGTTTTCAATGAAAAGATGAACATTTGAAGAAAGAAACCTAGTTTTCAATGAAAAGAAAAACATATGAAGACAAGGACTATGGGGAGACTCTTTTGGACTTTTAGTGACAACTCGTGCATATATGGTTCATGGTGTGCAACACATGAAGATGAAGGTCTGGTTCATGATCTGAAGGACACATTTTCAACTGCGGCGGCATTTTCTTTGGAGAAAACTAGCTAGGCTTGTCTTTTCTCACAGTTTTTCCAATGTCCTCTTACTAACTACGATCCAAACTCGTTCCTCAGTACACATCCATGTATTGAAAAAGGTCAAATACTGTTTTGTTATTCTGGGTCAAACTGTTGTTGTAGCATCTAAAGTTCTCGCATCAATATGAACAATAATGCTTGTTTTTTACACCTTCTTAGTCTCCTTGCAATTGAGATGAACATGTACAAGTCCTCTAGTTAGAGGACCCAATCTATCTATTTTTTATGTATAATATATATATAAACTCAAAAAATTAAAAAATAACACACAATTCATGAGTTGTGGGGCAATAGGTTGGACTTTATAGATTCAATGTCAATGGGATTGTTGGTGGAATCTGATCATGTCTAATTACAGACATACAAAATCATGAAAAATGTAAATGAATTATAAGAAACTGAAATGAAACTTATTTAAATTAAAATACTGGATTTTATAAGAGTTTAAATTTGACCCATGCATCAACCTCCACCATTAAAATCACCCTCCACAGACCCATAACATAAATAGTTTGGTTTGTATAATAAGTTCATAACAAATAGATAAATTGTGGTTTATATATATATATATATATATATATATATATATATATATATATATATATATATATATATATATATATATATATTTTTTTTTTTTTAATTATGTCACTTCTAATACTATTTGGGAATGAAAACCTTAATTAAAATACTAAAGTTTAAGTACATGTTTGTTATTATTTATGTTTAATTTTTCTTTTCGTCTTAAATTTGATGTCTAAAGTTTAATTTTGTGATGAAAAACACTGATTTCATAAAAGAATATATATTTGATATGAGTAAGTTTTATTTTTTATTAGTTTTAATATTGGTACTGGGATGTGCATTGCACATGTCCGCACTAGGTTTTTGCCTTCTTTTTTATATACCACAATTTATTTTTTTACTTCAATAATTTTCTTTTTTCAATTCTTATACATTTCTAAAAATGTTATTCAAAATATATTAACAAGTTTCTGAATTATATATTTTAAAAATATCTGAAAATAATATATTTCAAAATACATAATATTTAAGATTCATAGTATTTAGATTGTATATTTTGAGGGTTTTTTTAAAAGTAGATCTTGCACATTTCATATTTTTTTGAAAGATCAAAGAAGCAAGGAGTATTTCAGCGTATCTAGAAATTGTTTATCAAATTCAGATGAATTGTCTCATGCTGTTCTTAACACAACGTTGTGACCACAAAAATGTTTTATAGTCTAATAACTGAATAAATTGTTAGTATGCAAAATAAAGAGCAAGCGACAAAAATGTGGATAACTTGTTTATTGTTTGTATGCTAAAGGAATCATCATCTATCTTCTGCTTAATCCAACTGTTTCATGAAAAAACGGTTGGGAAAGAATAATTTGAAATGAATTTTAAATTATTTTAAAAATTTATTTTATGATAATAGTACACTGACAAAAATAAAAAATGGTTTTAGATTATACACTCTCTTGATGAAAGAAAATGCATTTAAAAATATTTTTCGTATAATGACTCTCAAATGTATAAATTGGGATGTTGTTAATACATTCCAGATAATATTACATGAGAAGTATAAAGATTTTCAAAATTTACATGAGAGGTGTAAAAGAAATTATGAAGATAAAGAAACACCTTATAATCATAGTATTGTAAAGAAGATACAAATAATGTTATGTTTTGCATTTTTTTTATGTTATTTATTTACTTACTGAATACGAGTATTTATTTATGAAAATAAGTAAATTAAAAAAAATTATAAACTTAAATAAGTGACGAAAAAGAAGTGATATTTTATAACAAAATTTTGATTTTTTAAATTCAAAAATAATTCATACTTAAGATTTTTATATAAACATAAAATATAAATATAAGTCTGTACTAGTTTTTATATAATAATCATTTATGTATTATTATATTAATAATTATTTTTATATTATTAATAATAAACTAATTAATTTTATACTATTAATAAAGTAAATAAATATTGTTTTATTTTATTAATATAACTTTGTATTAATAATAAAATAATTATAATTGTTAATTTTATTATCTTATTATTATTATTAATATTATTATTCTATTATTAATAACATAATAATTATTAATTATATTAATAAAATAGACAATACTTAGGTTAAAATTATTATGATTATTAATTAAATAAATATAATAAAAATTATATTATTTTAATTATTATATTTTAATATTATTATTTTAATTATTATATTTTAATAATATTATTATAATTATTTTAATAATATATGTTATTATAATTAATAATAATATTGAAGAACTCATTCCATCCACTAGTTCATAATCTTAAAATGGATATAAGGATTTCTCAATTCCTTCAAAGTTATTCAAAGACAGTACATAAGACATACCCACTCAAATTTACAACTAAATCAGATATAAAGTTCACAATTAAAATTGTTGTTTCTATTTTTTTTATTATAAATTTTTCATATCAGAATATTTATATAAAAGTCGGTCCTAAATTTAAAAAAATAAAAATTACAAATCGAGTTTCGTAATAATACTTACTCAAATTTATAATTTTTTACAATTTATCCATTTTAATCGATTTTTAAAAAAATTACATTTGATGTAAAATAAACTAAACTTTAACAAAAAAAAATTTAATACATTAAATTTAAATTTTTTATTTTAAATTTATTTAATACATTAAACCAACACTGTTATTTTTAGTCAATTTACATTTTTACACCTTCATGTATTATATTTTGGAAGTTCAGACAACAATTTGTGGGGTTCACAAAGCAAAGGCCTGGAATTAGGCGCAAAGAACTTGCACCCACTAAAGCAATATTTTCTGCATCAAGAACTAAGCAATTTTTGTCCAATATTTTTTTCATAATAAAACGTGGGCTTTAAAAGTCCAACCAATCATTACATTATGGAGACCACTGTAAACTCTGCCTGTATATATCACATGTTTTTACCACTTTATTATGTAGTGAATCTGATACCATTTATTCTTAATAAAAAGTAAAATATATTTATTTTAGTATATTCCGTATTAAGATTATCTAATAATTATTTTTTCTATTTGGTTAAATTTTTGTAAAAGGAAGCATTGATCAATATACAATATTTTATTAATAATAAACAATTTCTGTGTGTGGTGTTGAACTCTTTTCTCTTAAAAAAACAACTCTTATTTAAAGAAAATAATGACTTTTGTTTAACTAATTACAGTGTAGTATTTATTATTTAGGTTAATTAATATTTTTATTTTATTTAACTAAATATAATTATTTTTACTTTATTTCTTATTTTTTTATACTGATCCAATTTACTTCTTCCATTCTAAGATTATAACTATTTTAACGTAGTACATAAATATTAAAAAACATTGTAAGTTAATATATATATAGGATCATTAAATATATTTACAATAATTTAATTTTAATTTTATATATTATAGTTTTAATTTAGTTCAATTAGATTGCTGATTTAATTATTATTAAATTAAAAATAAAACTGATGTATTTTTAAAAAAATTCAATTTAAAAATAAAAAATATTTTTAATTATTTTTTATAGATATTTATTTTATTTTTAAATTAATTTAAATTTGATTAAGTGCATTGGTATTATTGGTAAGAATGTTGCACAGTCGGATGTATATGATATTATTTATAAACGTGGGATTCAGTTATTGAAACAATAAAAGTTACATTTTATTTTTTTTAATATATTTATAAAATTTAAAAATATTAATAAAAATAAATATAGATATTTACTTTTTAATTCTTAATATAAGAATAAGTATATTTTGTTTTCTATTTTATATATAAAAAATTATTGTAATATACTATGAAAGTTGAACAGCTGTTGCATCATGGTTATGTTCAACAGCAGAGTCTTGATGTGATGCAGTGGAGGAGAGTGCCAAAATAGGAAACAGACTGTATAGAAATAGATGTCTATTTCTTCCTTATTTTGTTCTTTTTAAAGAGAAACATGTCAACATAATTCTGTCTCATAAAACCAGGGGTGGACCTGCTCTGTTTCAGTGAAGAGGACTGACCAATCTCTCTCTCTCTCTCTCTCTCTCTCTCTCTATATATATATATATATATATATATAGAATTATTAATAATAAATATATATTTTCAATAATAATTATCTAAAAATGTAAAAGTCTTGCAATAATTCAACACAAAAAAATTATATAGACAATTTTGTATGTGAAATATTGATTAAAAAAAGGAATCAAACTTCATAAATTTCGTATTCAACAAGATCACAACCATTAATCTTGTTACATGCTTCACCAACAAAACAATGATAAACTAAACATCATATTAGTCAAAAGTGGAAACTAAACATAGGGTCATTATTCTTGCAAGCTGATCTTGGTAGGTAACCCCATGATGCATCAAAAAGATAAAAGGATCTAAAAGCATCTTCCCTAAGACTTTTGAAGGGTATTTCCTCAATTAGATTTGTTGTTATTCTTTTGAAGTTTCACTGACTTGAGCTCTTGAATTAAATCTTTCAAATTGTTGTGAGAAGTGCCACCAACCTGAATTGCTTTCTTTGCCTCATCACTCAGTGTTTTCACTCTCCTCCTCATTTCTTCAGATTCTTCTCCTCCATCCATCAACAAAGCAATTGCCTTTCCTATGTCCTCCCTCTTTACTGTCTCACTCCCAAACTCATTCAAGTTTCTCCATTCTTTTGCTCCAATGGACACTCCAATTCTCAGCACTTCCACCACCAGCTTCTCATTGAAAAACTGCTCTGAAAATAATGGCCAAGCCACCAGTGGCAGACCTGCGATCACACTTTCAAACACAGTGTTCATCCCACAGTGAGTCACCACAGCTCCAGTGGCAGGATGGTCAAGTATAACAAGTTGTGGTGCCCAATCCCATATCAGATACCCTTTGTTGCTTCTTTCCACCCTCTTCTCAAATTCCTTCAGAAAACCCCTAGCTTCATCATCGTTATTCCTAACCACCCAGATGAAATCATGGCCACAGTCTTCCAGTGCGTGAGCTATTTCAACAAGCTGAGTGGCAGGGAACTTGTTCATACTCCCAAAACTCACATACAGAACAGAGTTCTCTTCCTTGGAATCAAGCCATCTGATCAACCTTTCGTCTGTTCCTTTTCCTTCTCCTTTTTTGACATGGCCCCTGCCAGCCTTATCCGACTCCTCCTGGTTCACCCACAACGAAACAGGTCCTATACTCCAACTCTTCGTACCCATGACTGTCTTGTAATGCTCCTCGTATGCTCCCTCAAACTCATAAAAGCTCTTGAACAGTGATCCATAGCTCTTTTTCTCTGATTCTTTTATCATCTTCTTCAAATAGGTGTAAGGCTTAGGTTCTCTAAGCCAATCCGGCAACTGCAAACGTGTCATCTCCAACTTGTGAGGCAACCCAGGAAGCTCAAAAATCTCACCATCCGAATCTACCTGGGAAACACATATACCACACGCTTATCCCACAAGATACATATCCAATTCAAAAAGGTATAAAAATTCACAAGACATAAAGAATATGTTTTACAGATCCAACTGCATTTTCTTCTCGGTAAAAGATGTTTTGAGAACCCGTTTATTATTTTTGTAATTGATTGATGGAGAGAGTAAAGTAAGATGTATAAATATCTAAAAATAGGTTGTTGAAGGGATGTTTTTGTCGTGTGAAAAATATAAAGACTCTTTCTTTTCAAGCCTTGGATCGCATCAATCAAGGGCAAAGTTTCTGCTTCCCTTTTTAGCATCTTTTTATTTCTGAAAGGTGAATCCTGGCCCTTATCTCTATTAGTTACGTGTTTATAAGTGCTTCAAAGAATATACCTTGGCGTGAGGCGCAAACTGTTCAATTGAGTCCATTGCACAGTGAGAAAAGTAACTAGCACCAACATAAACGAGCCTTGGAATTCCAAGTTCAGCGGCGGCATCAGCACTCCAAGGGTAGAACATGTCGGTGACGATGAAATCAGGTTGCAGAAGACGGAAGAGTTCTTGGAATTGGACTTGGAGAATGGACAGTGCCTCGCCGATTTTCGTCCTCAGGTCTGGAGGAGTGTTAGCATTGATAGTTTCCACTCCTTCTGGCAAACCGGGGATTTGCGGGAACTTCACCACATGGCTTCGAATGAGGTGCCCACGGCTCGAATCACGTTCGATAGAGCTTTGGAAAACGGCGGCGTTTGCTGGTGTGGTGATTACGGTAACATCAACGCCGTGCATGGCGAAGAGCCTCGCCATGTCCACGACGGGAATGAGGTGACTGGTTGAGATCATGGGAAGAAAAATAGCCTTTAGCGTTTCAGCTTCACCATTCACCCCAAAGGACCCCATAATTATCGATCTATGATTCAAGATATGTTTCTATAATTCTTGTCTCTTTATATAGAATAGATTGATTCGTTTTTAATTCTTCACGTTCTGCCACGATGTCCCTGCTCTTCTATCGCGATGATTATTTCACAACCAAAGTTTAAAAAAATATTAAATAATATTATTATATTAATATAAAGGGTCGGTGGATTAATATTTAGATATGTACAATTTTATAACTATACAATGTCAAATCAATCTATATTTATTTTTGAAATATATGTATATGAGAAAATTGTTATTTTGTCTTTGTAATTTTTACAAATTTGTTTTTATTTTTAGAATTTGATTTTACAAAATTTTTACCTTTAATAGCTTTTTATATTTAAATATAATATTTTATTTAAGCAAAATTTATGAGTGAATTAAATATAATTTTAAGATTTTTTATATTTATATTTGATATTTAATAATATTAATTAATATATTTTTTTAATATAAAGATTGAAATCATTTTTTTATATATATATATATATATATACATATAAAGATCTAAAAACATATTTAACTTTATTTATATTTAATTCTGTGTCATACTAATTTACATATATAAATACAGTATATTTAAAGTTGTTCTTTTCATATGGTTTGACACTTATTAATTGCTCTCGACTGATGGACACTAGATTTGTTCATGTTGTTTACTGTTTGTTTTTGTCCTTTTGTTTCTCTTGTCTTCTTTTTTATAAATTCCCCCAAAAAAAAACGTTATTTTAATTGCATTAAAAAAAGGAAAAACAAATTATTAAGAAAGAGAATGTGTTAAGTTAAACATTAATGAATGTAGCACATGGAATGCAAGGGATTATTTTAAGATTAATATACGTAGTGATAACGTAGAAAATAATAAAGTATTACAAATCAATGAATATGTTCATTATGACGGCTTTTGAAAAGGATATTGAAAGAGAAAGTACCACTTATAGAAAAAAAAATATCAAATTTTCAAGTCTGAGAGTTTTCTTAGAATGTTGTAATAAGATAAAACTCTCTCTAATCATTTATTTTCTTCCATAAAAAATTAATAACTATATAATAAACTAATTTTTAAAATTTAATTAAAATATTTTTTTAATATGAATGAAATATAATTATATGTTAGAAATTTATATCTGAATTAAAATTTTATATTGAATAATAAAAAAAAATTCTTCTTCCTTTTATAAAATATTCCTATTTATGAGGTGGTGTAATCAACAAGTTATTACTCTCAAGCTCATAAAATTAATTTGATTCATTTAAAAAATCAAGAAAATGGTGAAAGATTCATAAATGAAAAGGCCTTTTTTTGGTAGTGTCATAAATAACTCATTGTGTTAAACAAAGTTAGCTCGTGTGCAACGTGCATCCATTGTATAATATTGTACTGCTTTTTAAATATTGGCCTAAATCTTGCCGGCTCAATATTAAATTTAAAAAAGAAAACAAATCTTTGACCAAAATCAAAAGTTGTACTTATAATAGCTTTCCTACATATTACTATATATATATAGTAATTAATAATTAATTATAACTAGTTTTAATTAATAAATAATTAAGATAAATGAATGCAATTATATATATTCTTACGTGAAAATGTTAAATAACTACATCTGTAATTATCGCATGATGATTACTTAAATTAACCATGAATATATAAATATATAACTAATTTATGTTATAATCCTTTACAGGGAAATTATAAAATATTCATTATATTATTCATTATATTAATTGATGAATGTTAGTTAGGACTAGTATTTATATATTGACTATATAAAAACTTTATCGACTTTTCATCGCATGATATGCAAAAGTTTGAATCTTCTATCAATACACTCCCATGTTATTACAATAGAGTAAGATCATCTTCATTTGTCATAGAATTTTTCATTCTCAATTCATTACACTACCATTCCAACTTATAAAGTACTCATTTTATTAATTTGAATTTACATTTTTTTAAGTCTTTCAATTAATTAATATATATAAAATTATTATTATTATTATTATTTTTTGTTTTTTTTTACAGATTTTAATCAACAAAAATAAAAATGAGTGAAATTTAAAGTAACGAAGGAATTAAAGTGACAGAGTGAATATGTAAAATAAAAATTGATGTGAACATAAAAGTCTAACAAGAAAGATCAAGATCTAATTGAAAACTTAATTGGACTAATGACTAGAGAAATTATTAAAAAGATTCAAGAAGTTTCAAACAATCAAGGACCCAAATCATCAAGGAGGCTAAGTTGGTTACATGTATAATGAATTTAGAGAGTTAAAATAAAATTAATTTATTTTTATTTTGGTGGAGTTGGAATTTGAACCCAAGACCATTAGTTTAATATTTGATTAGTTTTAATTCTTTTGGGTTACTTTTTATTATATGTAGACCCCAAATTTTGTCCAGCTTCACAAATAAATAGGGATGACAAAACGGGCCGGTCGGTCCGTTTTGGCCCGCCCCACCTTTGGCCCGTCAAAAGCGGGCGTGGCGGCTGGCCGATATAGTCATGACTGGCTATAAACCTTAGCCCGCCTCGCCATAATTTAGAAAAAAATAATTTATTTTTTAAAATAATTTTTTTAATAAATTTAATAATAAGATTATTATTTGTTTGTCAATAATTTAATATATATATATATATATTATTTCAATTTAATAATATAAATCAATATATTATTTTAAGAAATTATAATTTAGAACAATAATAAAATTTACATAATAATAAATAATAACAAATATATATATATATATATATAACGTTAAAACTTATACAATTTATATTTTTTATATTGAAAAATTCAAATACCTATATCTTTTTTATTTGATAAAACTTCACATTATTCTTGGTTGAGTAATTCGTACACCTTTAATTCAAGTCATAAGAATAAAAATAATCAGTGTTTAAGATAAACAAAGAGAACAGGAGAGAAGGTTGTGTTTCAGTAAGGAAAATATTTTATGTGAGAGTGAAACTTTTTTAATTCTCTTTTAAAAAATTTTAACTTTATATATTAATCTTTATAATTAATTTTTATTACAATAAAAAATTATTTTTTTATTAATTAGGTGGGCCGCGGGTTGGCCCGACGGGTTGGCGGGCTTGGCGGGGCGGGCCAAAGCGGGCTGGTGGGCTGAAAACACCAACCTGTCTCGCCATATTATGGCGGACTGGCCCGTCGGGCCTGCCCCGTTTTGCCATCCCTACAAATAAAGTCAGAAGACCTCCGTTCGAAGATGGATAAGGCCTCTTTAGGTCCCTAGGCATGTTTACTAGACTCCATGTTAGGATAGGAGGACCTTCTGTACGAAAAAAATAAGAGAATCCTTGCCAAGAGCCGAGACAGTGGTCCCGTTTGGCCAGACGACCATCTCGTTTGGCGAGACGACCATCTCGCCATTCATGAGACGAGATGGTCATCTCGCCACTTGGCAAGACGACCGTCTCACCCTGATAGCCGCAAATTCCTATAAATAGGCCTCACCCCCCTCATTTGACACTGAATTCAAGATTTGAGTTTCATATACACTCTCCTACCTTCTTAAACTTCCTCTAAGCCAACTCTGAAACATTTCTGGAGTTTGAACGCTCTCTTTATACACTCTGTAGCAAGAACCTTGCGTTCGGTAGAGGAGTGAGCAGCGTTGTAGAGTGAAGGGATAGCCAAAAACAACCTCAATATTCAAGAATTTTAATACAAAGCTTGCTTCGGAGGTTTTTTATCTACTCTCCCTTTTAGTGCTTTCATTTATTATTCTTCTTGTATGCATTAGACATTAGGATCATGTAAACATTTAAATTCTGCAAGTAGACAAATAAATAAGGGTAAAAGCATAATTTCTTTAAGTATTTATTTTATAAACTAGTTCATCATAGGAAATCCGAAAGAGGCGTTGTGGGGTGCTAACACCTTCCCCACACGTAACTAACTTCTTTACCCGACTCTGGTTGTAATGGCCAAAGTTGGTTTTTCTAAAACTAATTTCTTTTTACCTTTTTTAGTGTTTAAGATTAAAACACTGGTGGCAAATCCATCGAAGCTCTTCGAAAACCTCGCCTTTAGGTCCAATTCGGTTATCGGACAACTTAAAGGCATTGACCACTTCTTTAGAAAACGTGAGTCATATACAAAACCATCGCGTTGCTTCGACCGCCTCTTTTGACAGCGGCGACAGATGGCGACTTTGCTGTGGAAGCTAGAGAGTTGATCCCATTTAGTGATGGACTAAGTTTAAAAAATAAAAACTTGAAATTATGCCTTTACGCTTCCTTGTTTTTATAACATGTTTTATTGAATGACTTTAATACCTATTGTATGTTTACTTTATGCAATTGTTTGAAATAACAACTGTACACAAACCTTTACACACAACAGTTCCCTCTATACCTGGGAGCAAGTGGGATAACCTTAGGGAGTGAGTGACAGATACGATTTGTCGTAGTGAGGGCCATGAACCCACCAGTATAGTCGGAAACCACCACTCAAGGTGATAACCTTCCTCTTTTGGCTTAAAGACTGACAAGACTCTAGTACCATGCATGGTCTGAAGGCTGGGAGAGTGAGAACCTTATAATGGGGGCACCTTGGGGGCCTAGCCTTGGTGAGGATAATTAGAATCACCTTGAATACGCACTTTTCTGCAGGATACCCCTATCCCGTAATAAAAACGTCGTCACATTGTTCATAGATGAGTGAATTGTTTGTGCATTTGTTTGTTGCATTTGTTTGTTGCATTGTATAATCATACAACAACAAAAAAATAAAAATAAAAACAAAGTCTCAAAAACCTTTTCATAATAAACAACTTTATCTCGGACAGTCTACATTTTAACTAGCCTGGTTTCAGGTTCTTTATAAGTAAGTAGCCACGTGAACCGATAAAAGAGATAAGGGGTTCTAAAACCATTCGTTTATAATAAACCACTTTTATCTCGAACAATCTGCATTTTAGCTAGCTTAATTTCAGGTTCTTT